GTACGTCTTTCTATGGGTTGACTGGGCGTATTGCGTGACCCCTGTATTCTGATTTTGGTTTGACTTTCAGGATATAACTCAGATTAAAGAGAAGGAATGTGTGTGCAAAGTTCAGCTTCAGACTTTGTTGATTGCCTGAAAGCAGACTGCGAACGAAAGGAGGTGCATCTGGGGGAAGGTTGGGAGAAAGGCAGTATTGCGTGTAGTCTGATTGGGTCGTCAAAGTTGGAGAGGTCCCCATAAGTTTGGGGAAGCCCAGCGCTTTGTTTATTTTGGTCTGCATGGAGCCTCAAGCCGCTCTATAAGTTTAGGTAGCCTAGAGCTCTGGAGGCTGGGAAGTCCCCATAAGTTTGGGGAGACCCGGTGCTGTGAATTGCATAGAGGGTTAGGACGCTCTATAAGTTTAGGTGACCTGACTGCTTTGACTTGCGAGAGCTTGATTGTGGATGGTTTTCAGGGACCCAGGGGGCTCTATGAGTTTAGGTACCCTGGGTCGCCTTGTTTATTTGGGAGTTTTTTTGTTTCTTTGGCTCTGAACGAGGAGGTCTGGACCGCTCTATAAGTTTAGGTGGTTCAACCCTTCTCCTGTTTGGTTCTGAGGGAATAATTCTAGCAGGGGGCAGACCGCTCTATAAGTTTAGGTGGCCTGGCCAACTGCCTCGCACGGACTGGATCAGAGAGAAATCAACCTGGCAGAGGATCAGACCGCTCTATAAGTTTAGGTATTCTGACCCAATGCCTCGCACGTGTTGGAACCCAAAGGTTATAATTGGTTATACCCTACTACTATGTTATTAAGAACAGGCTAGTTAGGCCGCTCTATAAGTTTAGGTAGCCTGGCTATAGCTTATCACAACTGAAGAGAGTATTAATAAGAGATATAATTGAAGGTAAGCCTGGGCAAACTGAGTAGTGTCTTAAGTTGAGCGGCCCAGTCTTATGCCCACCTTGAAGATTAAGTTCAGAGAGATATATATAATCTGGCTATTTAAACAGTTCAGGGCGACTAGAATGGTCTAGTCATACGCCCAAAGAAGATAGAAATAGTTGTGCCCCCCTGTTTTGTGTATATTTGGCTAAGTCAGATGCGCTCTATAAGTTTAGGTGATCTGACTTCAGGCCTGGCTAAGTTGGGCACGCTCTGTAAGTTCAGGTGGCCTGACCTATGCCTTATGTAAGTTGGGTATGAAGGGAATAACTCACAGAGGGAGCATGAACTATTGATTGCTAAAGAGCTTGGGGATGGTGAGAGTACTTACCTTTGTGGTTTGGCCTGCATGTGGCTGAGTGAGATAACTACTTGGTCTGGGTTTCAGGTTGACAAGTAGTTGCTTTAGAGGCTCGCCACGTGCTAGAGCGATAGGAGTTAGGTCAATTCCTGCATTTTCTGAGCTGATTTTATTTTACTTAGATCGATTTTTGCATTTTYTGAGACCYTTTGTTATACTTGGGYTTGTATAAATTTTGRCAAACTACTTTCTCWACGGKAAGCGCYGYYGAAATTTCTACAGGTTCAAGGAGTTRGTCAGATTTTGACTAGTCAAMGTTSAAATTGTCTTTTCTCTATATCTGACTTGGTGAAAATTTGGAAAGTCTCCTTTTCTAAAGGGAGTGCTGCCCAAATTTTTGCTAATTCAGGGAGTTAGACAAARTTGGACTTTGARAMGTYAAGGTTAGTCTCAAGTTCTGAACTTAGCCCTGTATAAATTTTGGGAAARCACTTTTCTARAGGGAGTGCTGYCGAAATTTCTGCAAAACYGAGGAGTTAGTCAGATTTTGTCTGGTTGGACTCAAGTTATCTTTTGAGTTCAAATCTGACTTGGTATAAATCTGGGAAGTCTCCCTTTTTAGAGGGAGTGCTGCCCAAATTTCTACTGATTCATGGAGTTAGACAAAATTTGACTTTCCAGAGTTACAGATTATTGTTGTTTTTCATATTTGAGCGTATATAAATTCTGAAAAGACACTCTTCATACGGGAAGCACTGGTGAAATTTTCTCAATTTTTTAGGAGATAGATTATACTTTGACAGGTGGCGATTTTGATAATCCACCCTAAATAGGGGGAGACTGCCAATGTCTACCTTTGCTTTGGGCACTGCTGAAGGGTAGACTTAGGCTTAGTTAGTTAGGCGGATTTTTGGAGCAAGATTGTGATTACCTTCCAAGGACTTATAGGTTTAACTTGGGGATTGGCCTGTCTTGTGTTGCAGGTCCTCTTGGTCGTTCGATTTAGGATCTGGATTAGAGTCGGCTTGATCCCTTGAGGATCAGCTTCTGGTAGTACAAATAACAGGTCGGTTGCCGATTCGTCGGTCTACGACTCAATTCCAACTCACTCTCCATACCCAACCTAAAAGGCTTTAGCCCTGGTGACTTTATTGTTTGTTAAGGGTTTCGCCCGGATTTTTATTGAATGACCATTTGACAAAGGTACTGAGTATTTAATTATGGTTGGTTGGACAGGAGATTGGGGCTTGCATGGCTAAAGCAACGGGTATGAGTGCGGAGATTGGTTGGGGTTGACTCCGTGTAGTGCGTGTTTTGTCGTTCAGTTCTTGATGTGATTGCAGGTATGTCCTGTGGCTCAGATTTTGGATTTGGATTGCTTGCGATCCCATATACATACATATGGTTGTGAGGAGTCCCACTGTGCCTGTGAGAAGTGATCGTCGCAACTCTATCTCCCTTATGCGTGTATGTGTGGGTGCACTTACGATGAATGTTCGCGTGGCCTGAGGGGCCCATGTTAAAAATCTGCTTAAAGGTTGAGATTGAGAGGCATAGGGAAGACCTTCCCTTTTGCCTGTTTGCTTCTTGGGGGGTTCTTAGTCGGACGTTGGCCCTGGGCTGAGATTCAAGGTCCTTGTCCAGGACATCCCAAGCCCTAGACTCTGCAGGGAAGGAGTTTTCCCCCGTACAGAGCCTATTTGCATTGGCCGTTGAGACACCCCACCCTGAAGGCGGAAATGTCGCGAGGGCCGAACGACGTGTCCTTCAGCCGTTCAATATCGTGAAGAGTGACCCCTCACGGTATATTCCTTCAACCATTCAGTATCGCGAGGCTGGAGCCGCGATTACCACTTGTGACTGGCATCGTTGGTTGGTATGGGACTGGCTTGTACCCGCGCAACTTTATGTTAGAATCCTGTGAGCGACGTTTCGCCGTCCCAGCGTCTAAAAGTTATGGGATTGCCGGGCGCGCACGTAGGCGCAACGCCTGGGATTATTGTAGGCCGCTGGCACCACCCGAAGAGGGGAGGGTACCCCAAGTTTGCGATTTCTTTTGAAGTAGGGGGACCTTTGCCCTATCCTTTTTTTTGTGCTTTGTTTGCGTTTTAGGGAGTATCATGGTTGGACGTTATAGTCCGTGGCAGCCGTCAAAGTCAAACCCCTTGACTTTCGCCCAGGCCCGGGGTAGGACTCACCCCCAGGGCCGCAAGAAACGGCGGCCACCACAGGTATGGACCTGTGTACCACCCGCTTTGCATAAGGTGCAGAAGAGGGTGTGTGGTCTTCAACCGCGCATGGCGGTTGTCCGGCGTCGAGAGATTAATCCTCAAGGCGCGTGTCAGCCGACACTTGAGTGTCGAACGCGACCCCCGAGAGTAACGAGGGCCGTGCGAGTATGGGTACTACATAGTACGCCATCATCGCGACTGTTTGTGTGCGCTTGCATTGCTAGTCGATATGAGTAGGCCCTGCGTCCGCGCAGTTTTATACTAAGTCTCGCGCGCGACGCCTATCCGATTTTCGCAGTGGAAAGTTATGGGATGGCCACTGAAGGGGCTATGAGCGTCGTCGCGTGGTTTGTGTTGTGTCGTTTCGTGTGTCTGTGTGTGTGTTCCTTTTTTTTTGTGTGTTCGTAGAGTGGCGTGTGCGTGGGATGCGTCCTAGTCGACCGACGACGAGTCGCGCTTGGGACCTCAGCCCCCCCAAGATGTCGGTTCTCGTGCGGGTCCGATAGGCGTATTACCGCGCGTACCCCCTATGCTACAGCGAACGAGAAACGCTCTCGGCTGGTCCACCTCTGCGATTGCAACCGAGTAGCTTTCGTACTGTGGACTGGTAGCTCGGCGGCGATACGCCCACCAAAGGGAGGTGACAGTTCCCATAAGGTGGAGGTAAGTTGTGCCTTGCGTAGGCCCTATCCTGTCGTAGGGGCTCGCGAGAGGTATGGCTGGCGCACTCGGCCGGAGCGGCCTAAGGAAGCTCCATTTGTGTGTTTGTGACGAGGTTGGTCCAACTCCTGCGTGACGCGGCCGAGAGGGTCCCGCGCTGCCACGTGCGGTGTCGGACCGATGCGCTCGACAGGTGGCGCCGTTGCCGGGGATAACGGAAGCCTACCGTTGTCCTTGGTGGAACGACATCCGGGTATGGGAATGAGGGAGAGTTAGGCACATGAGTAGATAAGGGCATGACTATGAGATGGATCGTATGGTAGTCTGTATGGCTATATGCGTGTGGGTACTGATTGATTAAGTGGTTTGGCCGATGGTGTGGATGAGGCCAATGTGCAAGGAAACTCTATGGTAAGGATGGGCCTTACCTAGGTGAGCTTAAGGGAAATAGAAAGAGAAATGTCTGCCAGGTCTAGAGCGTCGGGTGTTTAAGTGGCCAACCCGATAGGATCATAATGGATTGGACTGCTAAGTGGAACCTTTCGTCCTATCGTTTCTTATAACAGGAGGATTGAAGCCGAAGGCGATCAATCAAAATGCCAGAGGAGATGGCGGACGGTGGGAGAAGACTTGTGACGCTCGACGACCTTATCGATGCTTTGGATAAGCGCGAGAGAGCGCCGAGCAATGTCCCGAAGGTTGTTACGTTCCATTTCAAGGGAGATCGGGTGTCCGATTGGCTAGACCTGGTTGAGCAGGCATTGGTGGGGTTGGCGGATGAAGTAAGATTTCAGCAAATTATAAGATACGTCCTTCATAGCCACCATCAGGAGGTGGGTAGGGTGGTGGACGCCGCCAATGGCAGCTGGGCAAGGTTCAGGGACCTGATGCTAAGAAAGTACAGGTTGGGGGTGGCTTGTTGACCATGGCGGACTTGGAAGCCATGAACAAGGATGACTTCTCCACGATCGGGGCGTTCGTGCATGAGTTCAAGAAAAAGGCAAGGAAGGTGCACGGGATTTCGGAGGAGGCGCAGTGCGCCACATTTTTGGGGTTGCTTACGGACACAGAAGCCTCAGAGTTGACAAAGCATGGGGAAGGGAGTGAGAAGCTCACCTGGGCAACCATTGACAAAGGAGTGGAAGAAGGGAGCCAGGACCAGGTGGAGCATCACCAGATGCGGCTGCAGAGACGTAAGAGAAAGGAAAGGGACGCTTCCGCATCCGGGACCCCAGGGGTGAAGAGGATCGTCACGGATGTGTTGGCGGCGTTGGGGTACGATAACGAGGCGGAAGTGCAAAAAAGAGGAGTGATCGTGGCCCAAGGCCGGGCGTCAGGGGCAGTAGATGAAGAGGCTGGACGCGAAGACTACGGCGGAGAGGAGACGGGTTCCCAGGTCCTGACTAAGGCCCAGAGGAAGCACCGCAACTTGCTGCTGGGAGGGTAGGGATCAAGGAAGGGGCAGGCTCCTCAGACCATCGCCGCGTCACCGCCTGTCGCCACGACCGCCCCAGCGCCCGCAGGGCCGTCACACATGGGGCCGCCACCAGGTTGCAGGCATTGGATGCCACAGTGTCAGCTAGCGCCCTGGCCTAGCTGTAGCCATTGTATGTCGTGCGGAGGGATCCAGGCCCGCGCTGGGCAGATGGTCCCGTATCCGGGCCCGCCTGCAAGTGGGGGCCCACCGTGTTACCCTGCGACCCAAGGCCAGTTTGTGGCCCAGCCGCCACCCTCCCAGCAGGCGTCGCAGGCTAGTGTGGTTGGGGGAGGGAATCAAGGGCAAGGCGGCTAGGGCAATGGAGGCCAAGGCCAAGGGGGCCGAGGAGGTGGTGGTCGAGGCCGAGGTAGAAATGGCGGGGGCCGCGGCGGTGGTTGGAATGGCCAGGGGGGCCAGAGCCAAGGTGGCCAGGGCAGCCAAGAGGGGAGCCAGGGGTATGGGAGGCCCCGTTTCGATTGGCGGAATGCAACCTGCTGGCATTGTAGCACTGTGGGCCACACCATACGGTTCTGCCAACAGCGGCAGGATGACGAGCTGGCAGGGCTGATCTCCTCTTGTATGGACGGGGATATATATGATAAGTGGGGGAAGCATATTGACCCCAAAGACCCCGGGAGGAATCAGGCAAGAAGCCCTCAGGCGAGCGGCGGCAGGGCCACCAGCAGCCCCAACAATGTTTAGAATGTGGCAAGAAAGGGAGGATCCGGGTGTGCGGGTCGAAGAGATTGTGGATGAAGAGTGAGGAGGTGACTCAACGACTAAAGGCGGGGACTATAAAGGAAGAGCCTATAGTCGTTGAGTCGGACGACGAGGGGTTGGAAGTGGTGGGAGAGTCAGCCTCGACCATCCTGGAAAGGATGGAGGACCTACTCGCAAAGGTTGGCAGGTACCAGGAACGGTTCAGGGTGATGTGTGAAAAGGCCCGAGAATGGGAGGCGAATCTCCCTGAGGTGATGCTCTATGAATCGGGCCCGGAATCGTCATCAGGACCATAGGGGTATCCAGGCATGGCGACGGCTGGGTCAGGTCCTAGGTCTGGGATGGCCTACAGACCCCCTACGTCACACGGGAGGGTGCCGCAGTCCACGCAGACGAGGAGCCAGAGCAAGGCTACCACTAGTCAAGGGCCCAGTCAGGCACCTGGCCGAGCACCTCCTCGAAGGGAACCTGAGCCTGAGCGTAGGAAAGAGGTGGTGGAGGTTCAGGAGGAGGAAGAGGAAGGTGATGACGAAGAGGATGAGAGGCTCCGGCAGGAAGAGGACCGGCGAGCCGAGCAAAGGGCCAAAACGAGAGGAGTCCAAGAAGAGGCTGAGCCAAACCTGCGCGACGGCGTGCCAAAAAGGAAGAAGTACGCGGTCCGAATGGAGGAGGGTTTTGATGTGGAAAGGATGGTGGATCGGCTCTTGGAAGGTCATAATGACCTTATGAACTTGAAGGATATCCTGGCCTCTGCCCCGAAGCTGCGCGACAGTTTGAAGGGCCGTCTCTCGCGGAGGTTGGTGCCCAATGTCCATCTGAGTACAATCCTGCCGTGCGGGCTGGTGGATCTGAAGGTGAGAGATCAGCCAAGCATTGCAATGGTGGACATGGGCGCCGAAATGAATATTATTCGGGAGCGAGACGCGACTATGCTGGGTTTGGAGGTTGATCACTCGGACCATGGGGTGTTGCATGGTGCCAACTGCAAGGCAATTTTCTGCGGCACTGCGTCCAATGTGATGGTGGAAATCGGGAGGGTGAGGGCTCGGACTTGCTTCTTTGTTATACCCGACGTCGATCACCCCATCCTTTTGGGGAGGTCGTTCCTCTGCAGGACGGAGACTTTAGTCTTCAACATGCATGAGAGGACCATGATCTTGGCCTTGTCTGATCCGGCCTGTGGGAACTATGAGATTATCAAGTGCCGGAATACGGGGCCAGGAAGTTGGAGGAATAGGCCCAACCTCGGCTCCTTTACCTTCAAGGAGTCCGAGTATGCGCGACGAAGACTCCGGGAGGAGCTCGAGGAGGAAGGAACGGCCAAGGTACTGTCGCTGAGCCTTAATGATGTGAACAAGGCAATGAAGGTGGTGGCGGCGCATGACATGGCAGACCCCGAGGCGATAAAGGCGCTAAGGGAACAGGTCTTGGAAAGCCCTCAAGTGGGAGAGGTGGAGTTGATATATCGGCTTCCAGGAGGGAGGGGAGGCCCTGCGATGGCCCAGGCCTGAACGTCAAGTCGGCCTTTTTTAGGGGGGGGCTTAAGCAGGGCTCCCAAAGGCGGTACAAGACCATAGATAAGAAGTGCCGCCCGGTTCCCGTGCTTGTTACAGAGGACGGGAAAGCCTATTATGAGCAGGAGAGGGGACTGATCAGCCGAATGCGGGAGCAGGCGCAGGCTGGGCCGTGCCGTATCAACAATGAGAACGAAGGGGACCTGATAGTTGGGGAGCCCGACTTCCTTTCACCTCAGGAGAAGGCCCTGATGGTGGGGGTGATGAAGAAGAGACCGCGCGCATGCATTTAACGATGACGAATGTGGGAGGTTGGATGTGGATAAGATTCCAATGATACGGATCCACACCGTCCCACACGAGCCATGGAATTTGAGGGGCGCGCGATATTCGAATCCGGATGAGGAAAGGAAGGTGGTGGATTATCTGGACGGCAAGATGCGGACGCACGTGGCGGACTACTCCAGTGGGCCGTATGCCTCCCCTTGGTTTTGCTTTATCAAGCCAAACGGGACGCTACGATGGGTGCAGGACCTACAGCGATTGAACGCGGTGACGGTGCAAGACGCGGGAGGGTTGCCAAATGCAGACGCCATGTCAGAGTCATGCGCAGGAAGGCCTATAATCTCACTTATAGACCTTTACTCTGGGTATGACGAGTTTCTTGTATACCCGCCCGATAGGTTGGTGACGGCAATGCATACGCCAAGGGGGCTGATCCATATGAATGTGGCCCCTCAGGGGTGGACGAATGCGGTGGCGATGGTGCAAAGGCACATGATTAGGGCCATGCAGACGGTTAGTCCGCATATCACACAACCCTACATTGACGATCTGGCGGTCAAGGGTCCGAACGAGGAGGAGGAAGATGAAGTAATGCCTGGAGTGAGGCGATTCGTCTGGAGGCATGTCTAGGATATTGATCAGGTTCTGAGCCTGCTAGAGGAGCACAACCTGACGGCGAGTGGTCCCAAGTCGAAGCATTGCATGAGGGAGGCCACACTTCTAGGCTTTGTCTATAATGAGAAGGGGCGAAGGCCAGATGTAAAGAAGACTGATAAGATCCTTGAGTGGTCAGTGTCGTTCCACTTCATAACAGACGTAAGGAGTTTCCTAGGGACTTGTGGCTTCTGGAGGAGCTTCGTGAAGGACTTTGCCGCTAAGACAGAGCATTTGAGAAAGTTGGTGCATCAGGACCAGGAATGGTTTTGGGGTGAAGATCAGGAAAAGGCAGTGGATGGGATGAAGGGCGAATTTAAGGAAGGAGGTTTGGTATTGGGGGCGCCAAATTATGAGGCCACAGAGGAAAATCCATTCATTGTCGAGACGGACGGACGCTGGGCCAACCGCTCTGGGAGGGGTCCTAATTCAGGCAGACGCGGAGGGGAAGGAGAGGCCGCTAAGGTTTGAAAGCCGTACCCTCAATACGACTGAGAGGAACTACTCTCAGTTTAAGAAGGAGACGCTGGCGGTACTCCACTGCCAGAGGACCTTCCGGAACTATATTTTCGGCAGGAGGCTTATTTTGAGGGTGGACCCTACTACACTTGCATGCTCCCTGAAGAGTTATACTCCAGCTGACCCAACCATCGCGAGATGGTTGACCTACATTTGGATGTTCAACTTCGAGCTGGAGAGGATTCCAGAGGACAAAAACAAGGCAGATGGGTTGAGCCGTATCAACTGGGATGGGGCGGACCAGGAGAGCACCCGTGTCGGTCGGATCACTCCGCCGCGGGATTTTCATCGGAACCCGGACTAGCCCGGAATCCTAATCGCCTGCCAGGTAACCGGAGCCCTTCTTTCACACGAAGAGGAAGGGTCGACCTGCGGCTTGCCCAAGGCTTCCCCGGCCTGACGAACATCGGCCCAAAGGAAGGAGGACTAGAGTCATCTCCAGGGGAGATGGCTGAGTGTGTGTGCAAACATTCATGTTATTCCTCCAGGCCTGGCCTTGCCATGCGCCCAGCCGCCCTCAAATCTGATTCACTCAAAGGATTGAGCATACACAAGTCCTCATTCCTTGTCTTTAGTTATATACACGGTCATGCGTCGGGCGCCCCCCTCGAGATCGTCAGGGTCAATTTAACCCATACCCGGCACCTCCACCATTTTTGTAGGGGCCGTACCCTGAAGGACTTTCGAGCCTCAGTCGACCCCACTGCGGGTCCCACTTGGCTCAACCTGCCCACGCTCAAGCCCTCGGCGCGGGTCGTTCGTCCCAGGGGTACCCCCACCTAGCGCTATGAGATGGATGGGGATGGGCCTTGTGCGAGAGGGCTTTACATTCGGGGATGTAGCTCCGCTCTCGCATCAAGATGGTAGCTCTTTAGACACTCGTGGCATTTTCTTGATTCATTTAGGTCTGACCAGGCAATTGCTCCTTCCAATACGCAGGCAGTCCAGGGAGTTCATTGAAGTCTCATCTTNCACTCGTGGCATTTTCTTGATTCATTTAGGTCTGACCAGGCAATTGCTCCTTCCAATACGCAGGCAGTCCAGGGAGTTCATTGAAGTCTCATCTTCTTATCGTGTGCAGGCCAAGCGTCATCCATTGGGCCACACACCTTTTCACTAAGCCTAGCGGCTCTGGGCAGCCCCGGCGGCATCCTTGGGGTAAGGCGGCGTCGCCCGGACCCCTAGCCGCTATATTTTTTTGCGAGAGCCACTAGCATCGCATCACCTATCCAAGACCACCCTTCGTCTTTTCAGGGGTCGCATTGCACATGAGAGAGACATTCCATGCAACCTCCACACAAACCAAGTCCATGCATCAAACATCCACCCAAGCGCCCGGCCTCAACTCATCCCGCATCCATGGCTTAAGCCGGACCCAAGTCCTTTCCTTAGCCAATCTCCCACCCTAGTCCTCATCCGCGGGTCCAGCCCCGTCCAAATCGTCCCTAGCTACTCACCTGCGCAAGACCACACAAGAAAATGACCAAGTACAATCCCCATTGGGGTCAACACATCGCCCCTTCCCGCAATCCTAAGTTGCCTTTGCCTTCCAATTCCCCTTTCGAGTTCCCTTCCCTTTCACACAGGCAAGCCATGCGATCGCCTCAGTCATGCATTCCGGGAGGATGGTTGAGTCAAACTGACCTTGTTGCGAAAAACAGCACTCCTTTCCGCTTTTTCTGATGCTCACAACAGTATGGTACCTTTCCTTCTTGGCGGCACAAGGGACCGACTGCCCTTCCCTTGCCCTCGCTTTCCACCAAGTGAGGATCAAGTTCGTTACCGTTCGTCCCCTGGCAATGTAACAGGTGAGGGTAGTGGTTAGTCACGTGTCACGGGGGGAGGGATGGGGAAAAGGGAGAGTCAAGGGTTAAAGGGTTTGAGGGGGCGGAGAGAGAGAGAGAGAGAGAGAGAGAGAGAGAGAGAGAGAGAGAGAGAGAGAGAGAGAGAGAGAGAGAGAGAGAGAAGGAGAAGTGAGGATGATGAAAGAAACAAGAAGTTCCACATCCTAATCGACCCCGCTCCTTGGCTCACCCTAATCGACCCTATCTCGAGGCCCCTCACGTCTCTCCCCTTGCGACCCACTAAGACTTTCGGGTAAACGAGCGTGGACAGCGGGGGAGGAAGAAGGGTTGAGGGTGTTCGGCTATGGGGGACGGGTGTGAGTGATGGAGGAGGCAGAAGGGTCGGGTGTGGTCGGCTATGGTGGACGGGTGTGGGCGATGGAGGAGGAAGAAGGGTCGAGGGTGGTCGGCTATGGTGGACGGGTGTGGGTGATGAAGGACGAGGGAGGGTTAAGGGTAGTCGGCTATGGTGGACGGGTGTGGGTGATGGAGGAGGAAGAAGGGTCGGGGGTGGTCAGCTATGGTGGACGGGTGTGGGTGATGAAGGACGAAGGAGGGTTGAGGGTGGTCGGTTATGGTGGACGGGTGTGGGTGATTGAGGAGGAAGAAGGGTTGGGGGTGGTCGGCTATGGTGGACGGGTGTGGGTGATGGAGGAGGAAGAAGGGTTGGGGGGGGTCGGCTATGGTGGACGGGTGTGGGTGATGGAGGAGGAAGAAGGGTTGGGGTGGTCGGCTATGGTGGACGGGTGTGAGTGATGGAGGAGGAAGAAGGGTTGGGGGTGGTCGGTTATGGCAGACGGGTGTGGGTGATGGAGGAAGAAGGGTTGGGGGTGGTCAGCTATGGTGGACGGGTGTGGGTGATGGAGGAGGAAGAAGGGTTGGGGGGTGGTCGGCTATGGTGGACGGGTGTGGGTGATGGAGGAGGAAGGGTTGAGGGTGGTTGGCTATGGTGGACGGGTGTGGGTGATGGAGGTTGAAGAAGGGTTGGGGTGACTGGCTATGGTGGATGGGTGTAGGTAATGGAGGAGGAAGAAGGGTTGATGGTGGTCGGCTA